GGCAAGGAGAGACACTCAATTTCCTAACCTAAAGAAAGGAAGCTCCCAGCCTGTCGGGTGATACGGATACATTTCTGGCTCTGAATTCTGAAAATAACTTGTCTCCAAGGCCTTTGAACAACGTAATGAGGTGCTGTGTTTTCAAAAAGCAAGTTATTAAATAGAGGTGGTTCACATTTTGCTCAATGAAAGCCAGGGACATAGCATTACACTATAGCTCTGTAAAGTCAATTATTCAAAAGGCTAGAGTGACACAGTCCAAGTATGTAACCTAATGAAGGACTCCCAGGTAGAAAACCTGCAGTGAAATACTAGCCCTACTACTTATTAGCAGGGCCATCCTAGCTACGTCCCTCTCATTCCCTGAGCTTATGTTTTTTAATATAAAGAGGTGGTAATAATATCAATATTTTCTGACTATATGTGAAAATTAAATTAAGTAACATATAAAAGTACTTTAACTCTTTAATATATATACAAATATATAACGTATTTTCATCAAATGAAACTCTAGGATCTTCTAGATGAAGGATGAAGTTAGATCAGATTATATATAGTTTATAATTAATGACATAAAAGTTCAACTGAAGAGCCATTAAATATAAAAGGCTATTGTAAGTTTTCATTGCAGCTCTAATAAAAACCTTTTTTACTCCCCCTTTTTATTGTTTTGCTCTTAAACTTCCCAAGTTTCAAGTAAGTGAGGTGTCATTGACAAAAGAAACAGTTGTTTTTATTTGTGAAGTATTTTAAGGCAGGGATTATGACACTGAATAAAGCTTTGTAGGTATTATTATTACCAATACGAGCACTATTGCCACCATTACTTCCACCAATTGCTGCAATTTATTGAGCATTTACTATTGACCAGACAAGGAAATGAAACACTTTGCACACATTAAAAATACAATCCTTGAACAAGGAATGAGAAGGGTGAATTTTATAATGCCCGTCAAGAGCAGTAAAACATTAGGCTAATCACTTATCTCTGGTCCTGGGTTTCTCTCAGCTTGGATCAATATGATTGCACATTTTTAAAGTTTCCTTCTAGACTTCAATATCCTATTACTACTTTGTCAGGGTCAACTTAGTGGTGAAAAAGATTGCCTTCTTACTTTTGTGATATGTTATAAGCACTTCTACCCTGATTATAAATTGATACTTTTCTTAGAAAGTTCTCTTTGGTAATTTATAAAAAGCAGCACCAATTTTTTTTTCTTCAATGAAACTGATATGATACTCTTCCAGAAGAGAGAAGAGCATGTCTTTTACAATATGTGGAATTTTGTGGAATGTGCTCCCTTAAGGAGAATAGTAAGGAGCCAGTAAGTTTGTGTCATTGCCTTAATTTATGTGTGGCAATTGTGTTTCAAGTGAAAATTCATTTTTAATCGTATTTATTTATTTATTTAAGTTTTTTAAATTAAGGTATAATGGACATAATATGATTTCTTAATTAAGTCCCCTAGCAATTGAATGGCTTTCATCAGTTAAGATCGTACTTAATATACCGAAATGGTACCTAGCAGTGGTTTTCAGTTTTGGCTACACATAATAGTCACTGGGGAACTTTAAAAAATATCAGTGCCTAAATCCCACCACAGAGATTCTGATGCAGTTGGTCCAAGGGGCAGGCTGGATATTGGGATTATTTTTCCTATTGCTTTCCTACAGGATTCTAATGTGTAGTCAAGATTGAGATTTACTGCCCATCTGGTATTATCAGTGAGGCAGGGCATCACGTACTTGAAGATGAGAAGTGCCAATCAGGATGAGGTGGTGGATGCACTGTTCTAAAAAAATTAGCAGAATCGACCAGTCAGACCCCAGCTAATGCTTATATGATATGTAAAACCAGCAGTATAGAAAATGTCTGGTTGTAAGAAGGATTTTTTACTTACATATGTTATTTGGGAGGCTCATTGACTGAATTAAAATGGAGAAGAAATGTATGTCATCTTCAGTGGAAAAAGCCTGTGTAAGTCTTGTTCTTTTTCTTTTTCTTTTTTTCTGCTGGTTTTTAATTGTCAAAATCCAGAGGAGGCACCTGGGAAAGGTGATCTATATTTACCACGTTCTTCTGACCCTCTCACCCCTTTTAGGTGACATTAAATTTTCTTTTCTAATTCCATGGTCTTTTGGACATAGTTTATAATATCATTGTATCCTATAGTATCTTTTTTAATTGACAAAACCAATAGACACGAGAAATCATTACCAAAATAGAAAACCAACTCGAGTAATTGTTTGGGGATTTCTTTGCTTTCTTAAGTAAAATCCAACACATGGTGCTGTCCTGGCATGTTTGGAAAATTATGCCCATTATATTTCTCTGTTTGCTTTTTAAACCTACTTCTTTCATTTCTTGCAAATTTTTCTGTCCAAAGCTAAATTGATTCTGCACAGCAAAGATAAACTCCAGTCCAGAAACTGGAAAGAAAATGTTTATGTAGTTGAGGTGCATATTTATAGAATTCCTGATTTGGTGGTACGACCTGGATGATCAGCAGTCTAGCTTCTGCTGGATACAATAGCCCTTTTTTAGTTCTTTGAAATGAGAGGTTTTCATCTCCACTGTAAAGCTTGTCAGATCTGGTCTACAGATGGCTGATATTTGTGATCTTTATCTGCTTGTGACTTCTTAGATGAAATTTTGAGGTTATATGTATAAATAATATGGAAGGAAGTGAATGCTTGAGGTTAATGTTTGCAGGAAAAACCAAGGAGGGGACTTTTTGCTAAAGGTTTTTTTGAAAAGCTGCTCTACTTCCTACAGATTGATGTAATAACCCCCAGATAAGGGGTTTTCACATTTTTTTCATCAGTTTTTATAATGAAACAAAAACGTGTCCCATAATCTGAGGCAGAGAGAAATACTCAACCTTGTCATAGTGTTATACAATTTTTGTTTGTTTGTTTGCCTTTCCATTTTATGATGCACCTTATGAAACTTGACAAATGCCAAGAAGTAGAAAGTAATAGACCCTGACACTGTTGATTATTCAGGAAGGATATGGTTTGACATTTAAGGCCAACTGAAGCTTCTCACTCCTATCGTATCAAACCTGGTATATCGCAGGCTCCTCTGGGCCTACACTCTCTGTCTGTTGTCCTACACGTGTAGAAAAACTGATACAATTCTAGCAGATTTGGGGAGAAAAAAGTAAGATCCTTTGTCGTACCAGGATGGTGGGCATTTATCAAACTATAGTATTTCTCAAGCTACAATTGTATAATCATGACAAATGAAAAAATCCTTTCAGAAATGCCTATACGTATAAAAGCAAAACATTGACTGTGATCAAACAATGTAGACAAAACAGAGTGGCTTTGCTGCTGTCTCACTGGGATCCAAACAAAACAAAGAGAGGAAGATTATGTTATATTTTGACTATCAGACTTGCTTCATGCATCAAAAGTGTTTCCTAAAAATTAGCTCTGAAATCAGAGAAAATAAGCATACTTTACTACTATTTTGGTGTATTAGGAGTATCAGAGAGAGAATTAAAGAAAGCATTCTGTTGGAAGCAGCCAAGGTAATATAATCACATGGGCAAGATACTAATGAACAGATAGTTGGTACATGGGTTGTCTTTGGAAGTGGAGGCAGGAGTGGTGGGGTGATGAGCACACAATATCCACATACAACATAGCAAATTTCTTAGGCACCTGGACTTCATAATCACACTACTTGGTTTCAAAATCCTGCTTTTGCCAAGTATTGGAGACTTTGGGAAAAAAGTGTATAGTCTGTGCCTCAGTCTTTTCATCTTTGAAATAGGAAAGTACCTATCTTTATGGTCTTGTTGTAAAGATGAGATAAGATACTTGATACAAAGAGTCTGGCACAGTGCATAATAAATACTAAGTGCTCAAATGTTAGGTAATATTACTACAAATTTTTTGACACCAGTTACTTACTCTCAACCTCAATGTCCTCGCTTGTCAAATACGGAACTGATTTTAGCAATGACACACATAAAGTTATGTGTATGAGTCAGCATATGATATTGTACACTCATGTTTTCCTAATTCTTTGAAAATGAGAAGGGAAAATGAGTTGGTAGCTGTTTGCAATTTTCTAGGACCACAGCTGCAGTTAGAATGGTGCTGAGTTAGTTTCCTAGGGTGGCCATGACAAATTACCACTAAGTAGGTGGCTTAACACAATAGAAATTTATTCTCTCTCAGTTTGTTAGAGAGCAGAAGTCTGAAGTCAAGGTACCAGCAGGGCCATGTTCCCTCTGAAGGCCCTGAGGGAGCATCCTTCCTTGACTCTTCCAACTTCTGGTGGTTCCTGGTATTCCTTGCTCTATAGCAGCATAACTCCAACCTCTGCCTCTGTTTTCACATGGCCATCTTCTTTATGTATGCCTGTCTCCAATCTCTGTCTCCTTTCTGTTATAAAGACACCAGTCATTGGATTTAGTCTACCCTAAATGGAGGATAATTTCATGAGGAAATCCTAAACTAACTGCATCTGTAAAGACTTTATTTTCAAATAAAGTCACATTCTGAGGTTTTGGGTAGAAATTAATTTGGGGGAGGGCACTATAATTTTCAACCCACTACAGTGGTGATATTTCGAAATGCCTCCAGCTCCTTCTTGCCATTTATCTTATTTTTACTTCAACCTATTCACTCAGCCCACATTTGGGAGTATCTACTGTGTCAGATCGTGAGACACAAAGGTAGTTCCTTTAAAGAGTTCATAGTATTTTGAGAAAGATGCACATTAAGCAGGTCTCTGGAACAGAGAGGGAAAAGGTATTTGATCCCTAGTGGTTGGAGAGGGCTCCCTGAAGGAAGTAAAACCTGCAGCTGTTATGAGTTCTTTACTCATTTACTTAAAGTATAAGTGCAGATGAAGGTATATGAGGAGAAAGAAAGAAATGAACTTTACCAGACAGGCCACTGTTTCCATCTGGATTACACAGAACTAGGCAACTTTCTTAGGTGCCCAACCAACTTTCTGCAAATAGGATTGCATCCAGGGGTAGGGGGATATCTCAGTGGTAATGTGCATGCTTAGCATGCACAAGGTCCTGGGTTTAATCCCCAGTACCTCCATTAAGTAAATAAATAAACCTAATTACCGCCTCCCACAAAATAATTTTTAAAATAAAGATAAAAAAATATTTTAAAAAACAGGGTTGCATCCAAAATTCCAGGCAAACAACTATCAATGGGTAACAAATTAGAACCCTGGAATGTAATAACATTTAATTTAAAATAGAGCACTGACTTTGAGTCTTCTGTCTATGAAAAATACATCTTTATCTAATATGAGAAAAATATATTGCAAGATGTATATATTTCTGATTATTAATTCACTGGAACAGAATGTCACTGATTTCTAAGTTATTTAATTGACTAGAGATTGCCATAATATATGGTGATACTTAAGCTCTTTCTATGGTTAGGTTTCTTTTAAGGAGTTTCTTTTTATTTTATCTAATTTCATAAATATAATAGTTTAAAATACTCCCCTGCAGCTAAGTGGTAACTGAAACCTAGATGTTAACTCGTCATTGCACCTCGTTTTGTGAAAATAACTTCAAAGGTGCAAGAACACTTATTTACAGCACTTGGAATGTGACAACTGTGCTATCTCTAGACTTCGTGAAGTTCACCTCCACCTCCCCCTACCCCTCACCTAGATTCTTGGTGAGTGGAGGTGTTATGTTTTCCATGATAGAGGCTGTGTCCTCAGACAGAAAATCACATGTGCAAGTTGTGTCACAAGGATTCTATTATATTTCTACAACTACTTCTGCTGGCAGGAGCTGGCTTTTATCAGCCCAAAACCAGGTTCTGAAGCTATTCTGAAGATGCCTTTGCTTTCAGAAAGCCCTGGTATCTACTGAAGAGTAATTATTAATCTGAGGTAGTTAAACAGAGGGGACTGACACTGAGTGAAATTGTGTAGGTATACATTTTCATCATCCTCTTGCTTCCCTTTGCTATACACTCAATATCTGAATAGGCAAAAGAAGCATAAAGATTTTCAAAGTGGATCAATAAGCCTTGATATGTTTAAACCTTGAGTTAACTTTTTATTGTTTTACAAATTAGAAAATGGTAAGGAACCAATATGGTGTCATGAAAAATAAATGCGACAGTGATGTCTTACTGCTTCCAAGAGCGGAGTTTTTCACAACTGTCCTTCAAAGCCTAGTTTTACTTATCCAGCCATCTGTCATTGCCACCTTTAAGATTCCTTTAAAATGTAATGAAAGATATGAACCTTCTCATTAAAATAATGCATCAGTACAATTTACAAATATTTTCTGTGGATTATTAGTAGAGTCACATCTCATTTTCCTAGAGACCAAGCCTGTTCTCCTACCATCTTTAGGCTCAGACTCACGCCCTCAGGTTGGAATGAGGTGGGGGCTAGGGTGGCAGTTACACTTCTCCCCTTCCATGCCAGGCTAGCTTCTTCCAAATTGTCACCCTGCAGACAGACCCACTGATCCTTCTTATTTGAGGCATTTGTCTGTCAGTCACTATGGGAAAATACTACGGGGAAACATCAGCAGGAGGATTCCAAAGGTAACAACAGGGCAGCTAAAAAGCTTAACTCATAAAAGGCCCTCACCCTCTTGCTGAGAGGGGTATAGGAATGCTACCTTTAATGGATGCTGACTGATTTTTTTCTTTCAAGATGGGTCTCTTCTGATGAACTTGTTGGTTGAATTCTTTTTCTTTTTAGGAAAAACCAGCATGTTTTGAAAGTTATCCCTGGAGTAGATTTATCTCAAGTAGATAATTTGCATCCCTGTGCTCCTGTGAATGGATAATGGCTTTGGTCACACCCAAACTTGGGGATTTTTTTTTTTTTCACTACACTGATTGCCTGATCTTTTCCCTAAGAAATAGCTAAGTGTCGTTAATTTCTTATAAAAGGCCAATAATTTTTAACCTTGTAAGGGAACTGGAAAGAGGAATATCTTTAAGGAAAGAGTTCATTCATTAAAAAAAAACTTAGTACTCACCTACTAAAAGTAAAAGGTCGCAGCCTGAGAATACAAAGATTATTTAAAAAGAAAACTGCCGATTCGTATTTCACAACCAATTTTCATTGTTTTCCTATCTTTTCTATCTTATATTCTTCTCTAACTCAACTTCATTGTGTTGCAGCCTGAATATTTCTTCAGCTTTATGGGATTATTTTGAGTTCAAAAAAAAATGTCCATTATTCTGAATTTCATACCTTTTTTTTTCTTTTTAAATCACTGTTCAGGCTTTTTTCCTCCATAACTCCTCTATCTACAGTTGCCAGATTAGCAATACAAAACACAGGACGCACAGTTCAATTTGAATTTCAGATAAACAGCAAATAGTTTTTTACTGTGAATATGTCCCAAGTGTTGCATGAGACATACTTATACTAAAAAAAAAAAAAAGTTGTTTATCAGATTCTGATTTACCTGGGCATCTTGTATTTTATCTGGCAGCCCTACCCTTACCCCAGGTCACCTCTATAAAATACGTTAGCTTTCATGTTTAGTGACATCAACAGATTTGAAGAGCATCTTTATTCTGTAATCCTGGTCATAGAGTGAAATGCTAAAGGCTCCCTAGGAAACCACTTCCTGCCAGGCTGCACTGACTTGCTGGCCTCTGACACTGACCTGTCAACTGAATGGGACATTTCAGCCACTGCGGTCCCACATAATTGTTGTCACGTCTGGAGAACGTTTGTTTTCTTCCTCCTGTCTCACTGATTTGAATTTTTGATTTTGTTTTTCAATAAGGCAAATCCTGTGGGTGTAAGTTCGCCTATCACCTGTCCTGGGTCTAGGTTTATCTTTTACTTCGGAAACGAAACTAAATGAGGGTAATGTTGGTAACTGAGCACAGGTTCTCTGGGATCTGTGGCAACAATGCAAGAAAGACTAAAGTCTATAAATAAACCTAAATTTTAGCCTTCTTCTCTAAAAAGCCAAGAAGAAAACCGTGGGTGGAGCAACTGATTTGAATGTCATTTCCATTGTTTTACCTGCTTACAATCTGGCAAAATTTGGAATGGATAAAGTGAAGCCTGAGGTTTTAGATTAGCCCCTATACAACTGAGAGTTGGCTCTTCTGAGCTCAACAGATACCATAGTTATCATAGAGAGGTGAATACCAAATATGTAATTTATTTAATGCAATGCTTTTATAGGTACAGTATCCTGCCAAGGGATATCATTTTAAAATCTAAATGTAACTGTAATTGAAATATGTTATCACTAATATCCGAAATCAGCCGTTTCTAAGGTAGTTTAATATACAGCTGCTTTAAAGTGTGCTTGCACATTAGCAGAATGTCAGAGCTGACTTTCAAAGAAAGCTGTCTTCTGGGACATCATTTATTCTTGCTCATAACTTTAATATGATTACCTCCCACTGTAGCAAACTGATTTACTGTAACATTCTAAAGAGATGTTATCCACAGAAAAAGCTGGAATATTTCCAGTCAGGATGGTCATCTCTGAGAAAGGTAACAGAAGCTAAAAATTCCATGACACCCGTCTCCTGGGTCCATTTTTAGATTAGTTAAACAAGGAAGCCATTAGATGAGGTGGTTCTGATACCTGAACAGCCTACATGAGCAAACCAAAACCTTAGACTGTAAATGCCTCAAGGGTAGGGAATGGAAACCTAAGGACAACCAATTACAAATAGCCAATTAGGCTTGTCCCAAGTAATGCTTAAGCTGTAGCCAAATAATTTCCTTGCTTTGCTTCTTCCTTTTCTCTGTAAAAGTCCTTTCCCTGGCTCCTGCAGTTGGAGCACTTCTAACCACTTTGTTGCTGCCTGGTTCCAATCAATTTTTGCTCAAATAAACTCTTAAAATTTGTAACAGGCATCAGTTTATCTTTTAGCACCATAAAGAAATCATTTATAGACCTCGTGTTTGGATGCACAGAGTAATGGAGTAGACCAGATGATTATTCCCCACGAGTAGAATCTAAAGTAGGAGGACTGTTTGTACCACTGGTATGTAAACCTCACTTTTTAGGAAAATACAGAAGGGCTCCATAGTTCTGAAGTCTGAATGTGACTTCTTAGGGTTAAGGGAAAATTCAGAGATCTTGCAAACAGTTTAAACCTTGCAAATGAGGCTATTCAAGCCCTAGAGTAATTCAGAATGCCCAAGCCTTTAGGGCAGTCAAAGAGAGTTCTCAGACCCGAGACTTGAGGCATTAAGGACCTTGCCTTGTAACCTGATTGGTAAAAGCCTCTGCCTGCTTGTCTTACCTGCTGTTCAGGCTAAGTCACATTGCCTTTAGTTATTTCTGATTTAGGCCTGGCTGGGGATGGATCTGTACTGTTTTGATTGTATCTGCTGTTCTGATGATCTCATTACTTTGTTAATTAAATTTTTAGCTTATTTTAAACTCTCTTTAATGGTTCACTTTTAACAGCAGGGAGGAGGAAGTAGCACCTTAGAGAATAGCGTCTGCCCCAAAGGTGGTTCTGAAGCCTGCCTTCCTGTGCCTCAAATTATATCCTCTTGCCAGGCCTGTGGGAGAACCCTAAAGACCCAGGTTAAAAAAATTCATCCAGGTAATTTTGGACGACCATAGGCCTAAACTACACTTCGGAGGAAAAGTGCAAATAGCCTTAAAGCCTCTGGAATTTGCCAGAAAGGAGTGCCCCAGAGGCTGTTCCTAGACCAAAGGCAAGGTCTCTAGCACCACCTGCCACTGTCCTTACTGGTCTCCCCTTCCTGCTTCTCCCTCCCTCCCTCATCATTTGATTTCATTTGGGAATTATCTCTTCATCTCCTTTGCCCATTTTTGTTTGGCTGTACATAGATGTGCGTGTGTGTGTGTGTGTGTGTATTAATTGGTTTTTCTGTGTTGTTTATCATGTTGAGATATAATACTAGCTCTCTATTTGATCTCTTCATGCAGAGGACAGACTCTGAAAGGATTCTTTTTAGGAATGATTATCTACTAGCCATCTATTCTTGCCATTTTGTCCATATAATGTTAATGCAGGATATGTGCCCTATTTTAGGTGAATGGGAAACGAAAAATCCAGCTCTTTGCTTATTCTGTCTAGGCTGACCCATTAAGAATATCAAC